TGCATAGTACAAACATGGTCTGAAATGGCTAGAGGCTTTAGATATATTTCTTCTGGATTTGACATTGTGTATGTTCAGAAGAAACAAGTGCAAGGCTCAAGGAGAGTAAACTTTGTGATTAAAGTCACTTTTCCAAAATGGAAGTCTTGGCTTTCTTCCCTTAATGGAAAAATGGTTTGGACAATACCTTAACCACTTGGATCATAGCTTAATCAATTGTGTAAACATTAAATTATGGATTTATTTGCAAGTTAGAAGCATGCAAAGAAATATTATGTAGCATAGGTTTGAGATTTGATCATGTGTTCTTCATGAAAATGCCTTGTAATTCAATAATAAATACTCAACTTCATCTCTTCAAATATCTTAGCTCAAAAATGATCTCTTTAAGTTATTTGACATTTTGGAAAGCTTGAAACATTGTCTACAACATTCATGTTGACCACTTTGGCTAAATCAACTTGGAAATTGGTGAAAATTTGCCAAGAAGTTGAGACAAAAATCTGACCAAACTTGTTGAAAATTTCACTAAGTGTTTTGTTAAAAATGTCATGACTTCATGGGCCTATATCTCTTAATCCAAGCATTTTTTGGATATCAACCCTCAAGGACAAAGTTGTAGAATTTATCATGATCTATAACTTTCATGTTGAAAGTTTTCCTTAAATCATCTTGCATCATAGTGAAAAATAGTCATGAAGTAACGAAATTATCAAGGTCAAAAATACTTAGAATTTTTCTAAGTATTAGAAATCTTGACTTTTGTTGACTTTTGTTGACTTTCTTGATTCTTGATGATCAAGTTTGATATTTTTTAATGTCTTGATGAATCTTGATCTTTGAAATTCAATGTTGACCAAAAAAGTCAAAGCTTGACTTTTGTGTGTCAGTTGACTTTTCATCAATTTATCCAAATTTCAACTATCAATCACTTGATCCTTGAGGACTTTTTGAACCATGAAATTAGGTCAAGATATTGTGTTTTAGTCCTTAAGATCATGCTTCAAGTCATTATGCCATGTATTAGGTCAAAAGTCAATGACCAGTCATTCTTAGTCAAAACCCTAATTTGGTCAATTTTGTCCCTTTGATGATTTGAGTGCTTTTCTTGAGGACTTATGATTAACCCTTGATCAGATGATGAATATAACTTCAAAATATTGATGTTGGCCAAAAATATTTAAGTTTGACTGTATATTGATCACATTTGACTTTTTATCCAATACAGCTGATTTTCAGTCATCTGAGCAACTGACTGAGCAATTTTGAGATGCAAGACTTGAAACTTGGAATGAGAATTCTTAGAGGTATATGATGAAACATGAAAGTAATTTGAGGCATTAGAAGTCCAATTTTCCTTGTGAAAACCAAAACCCTAATTTATGGTCTCAGTGCTTAGGAGGTGAGCTTGTCTGATCAATTCTTTGAGAATCCTTGAGCATTTTAGATCTTTTGTGAGAAATATCTTGAAGAAAAGGGAGGGCAAACTTTGGAGTACAACAGTAAGGCTTTCATGCCTTGACTAGGACAATAATATTTATATACATATATCCTTACCTCAGTGATTTAGATTTTATTTAACTTTGTGTACTTTATCTGCATATGTCTCCTCTTTATCGTCACCTAGTGCCACTGGTTGGCTACTAGTCTCCTCGCCTTGGATTGATTAATGAGTTACTATTACATCAGGGCTTGCTCTTTGTCCCTGCATTTAAAATTTTCTTGCCTTGTGAGCATTGTCAATGTCGATGTTATAAACTTGTTGGCCTCACATTCGTACCACCATGGATACAATGTATTGTCCATGTCGGTTTTGAGAACCCTTGTGGTTTTGTTATTTAGAAGGATTGCCTCATTTAGTTGATGTGTTTGGTGTGTTCTTTAAACTATGTAGTCTCAATCGTTTTTCGTAGTTACTAGCTTCAATTGAGAAGAGTTATTGTGCTTCCTTCATGTCTGTAGAAACCGTCCCCGACCAAAGGTAAGGTTCATGTCATTGCCCTTAGGGTTGACCTGGTTTGGGGTGGTCGTCTTCTGAATCCATTGCATACTCTTTTATAATGGATAGTCCCTGAGAGGGGGTGTGCTAACTATATTGAGAATAGTTCCCCTTAAATGTGAAGTTTGTCTTAAAAGAGTGGCTTATGCCATCTTGCATGGAATTATAAGACTCTTTGTGGTTGCAGTATCTCACAATTAACAAATTAACTATTGAAATTGTGCAAAAACCTTTACATAATACTTAAGCCATATAAGGAATCGTAAGGATATAGTACTCCCATTCTTCTTCACTTATTCCTCGACTGACCATATTGTCCACTGAAGCGATATTTTTTCTTCCGTTTGAAGGGTGGTCGCCCTTTAGGAACTAGCTAGCCTACCCTTACATGTGGGCTACCTGGGCGATCTGGGTATTCGTGGACATCGATTGTTGACGACTATGGGTTCCCGACTGTCTCTTGGCATATCTCGGCTTCATACCTCCTGAACGGTTGGGCAAGTGATAAGTTTACTTCCCTTTATTTTGAGGCAAAAGTCGCTCTCCATGAACTTGTGAAGCATAACCGAAAGCGTGCTAAAAAGAGATGTAATAGTTTTCTCCCTAGTATATGAATGGATTTTATTCACGTTGAGAGAATTGTAGAATGGAGGTGAGGTTTATTAAGGAATTCTTTGTTAAACCCTTCCTTGATCTATGTGAATTGAGTCTGGTCTCTTTTATTCACAATAGTCTCCCAATGGATCGGTGAAAACAGGAAATGAATTAGATGATAGTGTTGATCGAAGGCATCTTTGATGATACTTCACTTCATTATTGGGAGTCTGAGGTACCTTTTCCTCGTGTATTCCTCCCTGTTGAGGACGTGGTCTTTGTCATTATGCTAGAGTGAATTATAGAGTTACTGAAGATCAAATGATCTCTGATATCTTATACATATGAATCTAATCGGCGAAGATCTGATAGCTTAATTGCATTGGATTGAAAGAGTTGTCACTATGAGTATATTACTACGAGGCATCTCGTAAGAGCTTTCATCAGCGGTGGAAATTTTTTTGTTGCAGGTAGATTCGTATTCCTGATTCTTGGGACTTACTTATTCCTCAAACGCCTTCAGGCACTTAGATCTTCGATTCTCGACTCAATTTCAAATTACCATATGGAAGAAGTGTTTTAGCGAAAAATCATCGTTAAATATAACATCAATGTGGATCTCAGTGGTGATAATAAGATGTGGTAGATTAAAATTAGAATACCTAACACTTCGCACCACTGCAGAGTATCGTATGATTCGCGACGATAACTACTTCGACCTTTGATAATTCTTCATTTGGAGATCGATTTGCTACGTCATGATTTGGGAATTCTTGTGCATTATGATCCTCGTTCCCGTTTGTAGATTCTTCGTCACGTGGAAAACAGACTTTAATAGTGGATCTATGTTAGAAGTCGTTAGGGGTTTGTCGTACCTTTGAAGTTTTCATAGTAAGAATCAAGTTGATGATGGATAATTAAGACGGTGCAAAGTTGAAAAGTTAATTGGGGCCTTTCTGCATGATCATGGAGGTAATTACTCCCATTCTTTGTGACTCTGGTACAGATATGAGTTTAGATCCAAGAACCATCCTCTGTGAATTTTCACAGAAATTAGGAGGCATTTTTCACATACATCATTGTTCTATTTTTGAAATATAATTAGGTGTAAATTGGTGATGTGGAATCTTGAAACAGTAATCTCCAACATAGTGGCGCGGAGTGGACATGCAAGATTAACACTCTAACACTCAAGTCAGTTCAAGATTTAAAATAAATATAATAAATAGAGATCAGAAAAAATTATACATTGAGTCGTATGAAGTGGTTTGGAATAAATTTGGACCTTAACAATTTGGACTTTATAAAATAAATCTCAGAATTTCTTCAAATGTAAACACAATAAAAAAAATTAGAACATTTTTTGAACGTACTGTAGACTTACTTTTTATAAATTATAGAAAATCTCAATTGAATATCGATAAATTTCATTGCCTTAGAAAAAAAATGATTTGTCTTTCAATTTCAAGTTACCTATTTTCAATGTTTGCAAATAGTTCAAGTTGCAAGAAATCTCAATTAAAATTCCTTGAAATCTCTATCCAATAATACTCTAAAGCTTGTATTTAAAAAAATACCCTTAAGTCATTCGAGTAACTCAATTTTGAAGATTAAAAATCCACAATTCAAACCAATGTTTTTCAAATCTGAATTGAGCCAATAACCAGCCTTATTTGAACCAAGTTTTGTGGTTTGATTCAGCTCAAATTCACTATTCGTGTTCAACTCTAATGTTAACCTACCATGTTTGATCAAATGGCAGTATGCTGCATGCAATAAAACATGGCTACCTTGAAGAACAGGGGAGACCAGAATTATAAAAAGTGTTTTTAGTTTGGGAATAATACTATTTTTATCTGAGCATTTTGGAATGCATTTTTCTAGGTGATTTTTACCTGATTGGTTTTTCCCTTCCGAAATAGGAAAATTTTCTAGAGAGAGAAAGTGTCCATCACAAAGCAGTAAAAGAATCAAAACACGTCTAATAAAAAAAATTCAAGTGTGTTCGTTCAGCTTCTGAGATTATTTGAGTGTTAGTGCAAAATGGCATAAACTGAAACCAATAAATCAAACAGATAACGAATATCTAAATCACATCTAACAAACAATCATGCAGTATACTCACGAGTGCCGGTCACAACAGTCTTAAATTTATAATGCAAATTAATAAAATTCAAGTGCTTTTAGCCATCATAAAGGACATGTAATTGTCCATTATCACAGTATAAATGTAATTCTACTATATAGAGCTTAACCACCAATGTTCCATTTTTATTTCTTTGCGTTTTCTTTCCCGATCTTGACAGATGAGAGGAAGTTCATTAAACAAAAAAAGTAACAGATAGAGCAACAACAATATCAAATTGATAAATGGATATTATATATAAGGATGGATAGAATTTCCTGGTCACGTGGCCAAGGCTGTTGTTTTGCAAATTGGGCACATATTCTTCTGCATTAGCCACTGCTTGATGCAGTTACTGTGGAACTCATGCCCACAATCGAGCGAACCAATTTTCTGCCCATCAGTATATTCTTCCTGTCATGATATGAAAGAACAGGAAAAGTTAAGGATCAGTATCAGAATAAATTTGACAGACACGTCATTGTATGATACCAACTGGATCAGCCATTACTCATACCTGACAGATACAGCAAGGTTCGAGATCAGAAGACGACTCTGTCATCAGAGATGTGTAAAATCGCTGTTTCATCAACTTATGAATTATATCTTCGTTCAGTCCAGTGCTTACGTCTCCTATACGCTCCCCCAGTGCCAACAATTCCTGCAATCCAAGTTGAAGTTAGAACTAACCGAGCAACATTGCTGATGGATGGGAGTACCGCATATCCTCTTTTTACCTCATATGACATGTTATCAACATCAAGGCGCATTTCTCTGTGTCTGTCGTGCATTTCAGCCATGCCATGATATAGGAAAGGGTCAAAGAGCATATAATCCTGACATTGCAAATGTGGATTGAAGGCAAAAGTTGTGAAGTTAGCATTCTCAATAATCTACATGTTTCTGCTTGCTTCAAACCAGATATTTCATATGCAACTTAACTATAGGCATAAACAAATATACCAATTTGAAAAGAATTGTGAGCAAACATAAGGTAAAATTGAATCTAAAAACATGCAATGTAAGGAAACAGAAGATATAACCAGCATTATCATTGATTACATTTTCCCTTCAACTCACATACAACTTATGGGATCTAAGGTTATGATTGCTGCATGCTATTAGCCGGTTCTAGAATAGCTATTTCTTAAGTATGCCGATGGCAATAATACCCCATATTAAAGGAACTGGGTATCAACCAGTCCGTATAGTTCTTACATGCACTAGTTGCAGAGTATCTTAGCTCATATAACTACCCCTAAACTCCTAAAACCTAGGAAATTGACCCCTAGATTTAAGGAGCCTTGTAACTAACTAAATTGAGATCTATGGTTCTATAAATAGATCTCAATCACTTTGTAATCATTTGAACAAATACAAAAAACAGAAATTGAGAATCCTCCCATCACAATCATGACTGGAAAGGAATTCTGTATCAGTAGAAGCTCCCTTCTATGCTGAGGCCTCTGGTCCTCCCACACTAGCGCCGCAGATTGCACCTTCTTCCCCAATGCGCAAACATGAGTTTTCTGCCATCTCTGAAAAGCTTGATTCAGAGAATCACCTCATGTGGTGTCAACAGGTAGAACCTGTAATCAAAGCTAACGACGAACTTCGTTATTTCTTGGTCAATCCTAAAATTCCAGTCAAGTATGCTTCAATTGATGATGCGAGTCATGATCGCTTTTCTCTTGAGTTTGAGCTGTGGGAACAACAAGATCAATTGCTCCTCGCATGGCTGCAATCAACTATATGTTGTGATATGCTCCATAGTGTCATTGGATGCAAAAATTTGTGGATGCTTTGGGACAAAATTCACACCTAATTCCAACAACACACAGCAGTTGAAACTCTTCTTCTCTGTCATAAGTTGCGACTGGATCCGTTATGCAAAAACAAATCTAACAGTTTTGTCTACTGCTTCGAATGACACACCTCAAACAGTGGATCCTCAAGATCACTTCACTGAGTCAAACCCTAATTCCACTGTTGAGACTTACTCAGCCAGTCTTCAAACCTTTGGATCTCGTGGAGGTAATGGTGGCCGTGGTCCCCATAGTAGAGGTGGCGCAATTCATTGTCAAGTATGCAGAAACTTTGGACATGAGGCGTCTATCTACTATCATTGCTTCAAAAGAGATTCCGTCCTTACCAACTCTCAAGAAGAGTCAAAAGCATATGGTACTCCTTCGTACACCATCTCATCGCATAGATCACACTCGAATTCCTACTCCACGTGCTCACTCTCAATCCTTACCATGGCCTTACTCAGCATGGAATATCTTTGGCCCTCAGTATCATGTGCCATATCCTTCCATGTCACTTCCAGCTATGCCTCGATTGATAATGCCTCACAACACTCTGCACAAAACTATGCACCTCATCCATCTTACATCAATCCTGCACAGAACTTTGTACAACAGTTTGCATTTCCTCCTTCAAATTCATATCAAGTTCAGTCCATGCCTTCCCCACAGGTTTACACAAACCATATGGCTTCCACACAAGCTCCTTGAGCATTGTATCTCAGCTCAGATTGACTCCTGCTACCAATTGGCATCCAGATTCTGGTGCTTCCCACCATGTGACTCCTAATGGTGGCAACATTCAGCAGTACTCACTTTGAAGGCCCTGATCAAATTTATATTGGCAATGGACAAGGTTTGTCTGCTGCATCTTTGGCACTTCTAATTTCACCTCACCATTACACACATCCTCTACACTCACTTGACATAATTTACTCCATGTACCTACAATCACAGGAAATTTATTAAGTGTGAATAAATTTGCTAAAGACAACAAGGTCTTCTTTGAGTTTCATCTGGACACATGCCTTGTCAAACCACAGGTCACTAAAGAAGTCTTACTTCGAGGGAGTTTGGGCAGTGATGGCCTCTACATGTTTCCAAGCCTGATGCTTCAACCACAAGCTTCTTCAGGCCTCACCTATGCTAATATCCCAACTGCTAATTCTGTTTCAAATAATAGTGCTCATTCCTTTTCACTATGGCACAATAGACTTGGCCATCCTTGTACTAATTCAAAGACTTGTGCTAAATAATTGGAACATTCCTTTTGCAAATAAAGGCACATTGGGTTTTTGCTCTTCGTGTTGCTTAGGGAAAGCTCACAAGCTCCCTTCTCACTCTTTTACCATCAATTACACTTCACCTCTTGCACTAGTCATTAGTGACTTATGACTTATGGGGCCCCGCTCCTTTCACTTCCACATGGGTTTCACTACTACATTACCTTTGTGGATGCACACACAAGATTCCCATGGTTTTATCTTTTCAAGAACACATCTGAAGCTATCACCATCGTTGAGCAATTCAAACTTATGGTGGAACTTCAATTTCCCTTAAAAATCAAAGAAATCCAAACTGATTGGGGTGGGGAATTTTGCCCCTTCACTCAACTCCTAAACAAGTCTGGCATTCATCATAGGGTAATTTGCCCACACACGCATCATCAAAATGGTGTGGTGGAAAGGAAACACAGACATATAGTTGAAATGGGCCTCACACTCCTTTCTCAAGCATCCTTACCCTTCAAATATTGGGATGTTGCTTCAAGCACTAGTATATATCTCATCCACAGACTTCCAACCACTTCTCTAAGTTTTGAAGTTCCTTACACTAAACTTTTTGGCACTACACATGACTACAAGTCTCAAGTGTTTTGGTTGTGCCCTTGTTCCCCCCTACTCAGACCTTACAACAAGCATAAGCTATAGTTTAGGTCTCAGTGGTGTCTCTTCTTAGGCTATTCTACATCCCCACGAAGTTATAAGTGTCTTGCCCCTAGTGGTAGACTATATATCTCCAAGGATGTAGTTTTAAATTTCCCACATTCTAAGTTGTTCTCTCCACCTTCCTCTCCCCACACAAAGCAACACACACATACCTACCACCATACACATTGTCCTATACTCAACTACTACCAGTTCCCAACCCACGTATGGCCTTTCCTACACCATTGACCTCTACTGCAACTCCTGAACATCAACCTCCAGAAATTCAGCCTACTCCCGTTGAATCTTCTCCAAGGATGTAGTCTCACCAATGGCTTCTCCAACTCATCCGCTCACCTATTCATCCTACTCCTAAGCCACAACCAGACAACACTCATTCCCTGACTACTAGGTCAAAAGTTGGTATTGTGTTCCTAGACTACATCCCACAATTTTAATAGCACATGCTTAACCAAGAAATACCAAGCTGGCCATCTCTGATCCAACATGGTTGGCCTCAATGACTCTGGAGTATGATGCCCTAATGAAGAATGGAACTTGGTATCTTGTTCCTTTGCCTCCTGGCTAACTTCCTTAGCGTGTAAACTTGGATGAGGCACTATATGGGTCTAAAACCAGCCCTTAGGGCTTGGTTTAATAGACTCAAGAACTCTCTCATTCATCTTGGATTTGCACCAGGCAAATGTGATCCCAACTTGGTCTACATGCTAGTTTAAGTTGATGATATCATCATCACTAGTAATAAGAAGGTACTCGTTCAATCTATGGTTTCTAAGCGTCATTCAGTGTTCTCTCTCAATGACCTAGGTCAGCTTGACTATTTCTTAGGCATAGAAGTCAAAAACAGGGATAATGGATCCATGTCACACTCCCAAGGCAAATACATAAGAGATTTACTCACCAAAACCAACATGCTTGAGTCAAAACCACTATCATCTCCTATGGAGGTTGGCTTGAAACTCTCAAAAAATGGCTTTGATACCTTATATGACCAACCCATGTATAGGTCTGTGGTTGGAGCTTTGTTGTATATTACCATCACTAGACCTTCCATTTGCTTTATTGTTAACAAAGTGTGTCGGTTCATGGCAATCATTGCTTGGTGGGCCAAGAAGCAACCAGATATATCTTGCTCTAGTACTGAAACTGAATATCGCAGCCTAGCACTTGCCACTTCAGAACTCCTTTGGATCCAATCACTTCTCCAAGAGTTCGGAATCTCCTAGCACCTCCAACCAACCATTTATTGTGATAACATGAGCACCCTTGCCCTACCTCATAATCCTATTCTCCATGCTTGAACTAAGCACATGGAATTAGATCTCTTCTTTGTTAGAGAGAAGGTGTTGGCAAAGGATATCAGTTTTGTTGATGGAGGATGGCGATCCATGGCGGAGAGCCAAAATTCCACCATACCGGACACTTTGTGGCGCCGTTATAGCGGATTATGATGGAAACACCCTCAATATTGGCCGATATTTACTATTGCAGCGAGCCCAAAAACTGACATGTATATCTGCCATAGCGGCCATGGCGCCACTATTTGATAACAGTGTCGAATATCAGCAGTGTGCTGATATTTTCACCAAGGCCCTGCCACCTTCAAAATTTGAGGAGTTCAGGGTCAAGCTCACCGTGAGGGATTCATGTGTCTCCCCCACAGTTCAGCTTGCAGGGGGTATTAAGGAACTGGTATCAACCAGTTCATATAGTTCTTACTGTGCACTAGCTGCACAGTATCCTAGCCCATACAACTACTCGTAACTAACTCCTAAAATCTAGGAAACTGTTCCTAGATTTAAGGAGCCTTGTAACTAACTAAACTGAGATCTATGGTTCTATAAATAGATCTCAATCACTTTGAAATCATTTGAAGAAATACAAAAACAGAAATTGAGAAAACTATATTGAGAATGCTCTCATCACAATCATGACCGAATAGGAATTCAAACCTCAGCTCGTAAGCTCTCACCCCTCCGCATTGCAATCAAGACTTGGCGAATCTGGCACATAGAACAACTGCATAGTTAGTTCAGGTATAGGCACCAAATTTAGCTAAATTGTTTTTCAAATTTAAATTGATCGAAATGCTTATTAATTGGCTGCTAAAAATAAGCTATGCTGCTTGTAAGGAAACTAAAATTATAAAAATGAGGCAGCAAACAGAAATTAGAAGAATATCCAGACCATAAGCAATAGTACGAATCAGTGAAGTTGTACTATTTATTCACCAATAAATATTTCCTGTTCTTTGAATTGTAAATCCAGGCTATTTGAGCATATTTAGTAAAGGAAAATCATCATACCAGCATGGCATAGCCTTCAAGTAAAAGTCAGTGCAGCATATCTTGTAATAAGTAAGAAAGTAGAAATAATACCTCAGATATGAGCCGGCGTCTTCCCTCATTGTCAGCGGGTAATGTTCGCAGTGAATGAGGAGCAGGGAGTACATCCCCCCTTCTTTCCATCAAATATGATGTTCTTGGATGTGGTTGACTGCTGCTAGAACCCTGAGAAAAAGAAAGAGGGCCGGAAGTAGAGGGGGAATGGCCATTATGAGCACCAGATGCTGAGCTGATTGATGGAAAAAGGGACCAAGGACTGAACTCTGAAACTCTCTGTAGATTTTCTGTTGGGACTTCATGGTTAAAAGTCCAGCTAGGATTAGGTAATGAGTGGACATTTGAACTAGATCCAATCCAGGAAGGAGGAGGTATACCTCCGGCGTTGTTCACATTATTAGAAGATGTATACCAACCTGAAGGTTCATGTCCTGAAGATGCAGGCAAATTCATGGGATGCTCAGTACTATCTCTCGGGAAGATTCTTAAGTTAAAATCTTCGCGTACTGCTCTTTCTCCCGAGTTATAAGAACTTGATGATCTGGCCACTCTAGGATTAGCAGCTCGATTCCACGTAAAAGGATGCATGTGTAGGGAAGGTGACTGGGTTTGTGGCACAGCAGAATTAGCAGCTGTTACTCCAGCTGTTAACCTCAAATCCAAGGACTCGCTAAATGAGAGAGAGACAGGTGTTTGATGTGGAGAAGGATAATTATGATGTCTGGCACTCCCTGTTGATGTTAAATTGAGAGGTACAGATTCCGGATGCTGTAGATGAGTTATTCTCCTATCGAAGTTTCTTAGAGGCCTTTCCACACTTTCCGCTACACCTATCATTGACGGAAACATATTTGAAGCTTCTTGTCTCACTTCATTTCTTGTATTCTGCTGAAATGGAGGACTAGTAACACGGAAATCATCTAAAGGTGAAAGATCACCTAAGCTTCCAGGAACATTAAGATCAACAGAATCAGTAGGCCAGTAACCATTTTCAGATTGTAAAAGAGAACTCGAACTTTCTCCAGTACATAGTTGCATAGAACTACCTTCAAGGGTCTTTCTCTTGCAAGAAGGACCCCAATTAGCTAAAGAAGAACTTGAACTACTGCTATCTCCCCAAGCCATGTATCCAGAGCTTGCAGACGAAGCTCCTGTATGATTGAATGAAGAGCTGCCAAGTGGTGTCTTCTCTCTATCTAATCCACATGGATTGTTGTTATTAACACCACTACTAGTTTCTTTTCCTTTCCCGCGGTCAGAAGAGTTGCCAATGTGCCCCATACCGAGATTAATATTCTGAGCTGTATGATTAGAGCTGGAACCTTGCAAAAAGGAAGGATGAATTCTGGATTGATTCCCAAGTAATTGCCTTTCTTCAGGTATTTGACCATCCTCGGCAATAGCACTACATGAAGAAGACAACCTATGTTCTGATATTAGAGCATCATCATTGACTTGGTTGATCAGATTCAGTCCAGAACTGTGTTCACCGGTATTCCAGCCATTAAAGCTCACATTAGGAGCACTACCACGTAAACACGCACTCTCACCAGAAGACCCCCTATAATCTGACAGTCGAAAGTCTACTGAATTTTGCACGTGATTCAAGGGAGACTGATGATTCATATCAGTACCGTTAGAACTAGGACCTGGCATCTTGCTAACAATTGCCGGGAAGGACCCAACAGTCCTCCTTTGACCTTGCATCAAAACCAAGCTATCCCACCTAAATTAATGAAAAGAAAATACATAGATAATCAAATCTCAAGCTGTGTATAAAATGAACACAAAAGAGTCATACATATAACCTTCAGATGACACATTGGCTGTAAAACTGAAGTGTATAGCATGTTTTGCTAGACATGGTAAGAATTAACCCGTTTGATCGATGCAAAAAAATTGAGCATAGATGCATAAGCAAATGTGACTGAAACAATTTGCAATAACAAATTTGAATGCTTCTCACTGTTAGATGTTTCATTTGCATCAAGATGGTAAACAAACAATGAACTTTTAAAAAGAAATCTCTAACTTTAAAATCATTTCCCAACTACTGGACTATTGACACACTAGGGTAAACTAGATGTGGTACTAGTATACAAAGCTATGAGACTTATGGTTAAAGCAAAAGAAGAATGTAATTCTTTCGGGAAGTTATATAGAAGGCACAAGAACTTCAAGAGGAAAGGGAAAAGGTTGCATCACGAAGGACTGAACCTCCGAAACAAACATTACACCGAGTCTTTATTTCCTAAGGCCAATTGAGCCACAAGTGGGTGGTAAACATTTATAGTTTTTGACAATACATTATCTTCCGGCAAAGAAAATAGTAGGAGTTTGGAATGGTTCACAACGAATGCAAAGGAACCAAATGAAGATAAAGAAAAAAAAACCATATACTTATCAAGAAAACCAACTATCCCATTATCTAGTGCTGAAAATATAATTTAATCACAGAAACAGTTTTGGTTAAAAGGAAATGAAACAATTCGAAGAAGTTAAACGAAGATTAATCAACATCTCTATTCTCTAAAAGTATTAACATTAAAAACATGTCTCAATTGAAATCATTTCATCTCCCTTTATTTCTCATCACTATACCAAAAAGGGAAATTAAGTCTGCATCCAAAGGCACAAAAGCTAACATACTACACAAGCTCAACAATAATCAAGCTAAAATCAATAACAACAAACATCTCTAAGGTCATCAAAACAACGAAACTTCACAGTACCCAATTCATCATTCCCACCCTTTCAGCCAAAGCAAAACAAATCCAAACTGAAAGTATTAAAAAACCCAACTTCAAAATCGAAACAAACCAAATCGATTATACATATTTCAAACAAAGGGGTAGGGTTAAAAAATCACAACAGAAGAAAAGAAAAAAAAAAGCAAAATTGAACATGAAACAAAATAGCGTCGACGCGATCATCAAACCAGAAACCGAAAAAAACGGATGCAAGAACTTTTTCAACGGAAAAAAAAAGTTGAATTCAGACAATTTTGAACAACCCCTAAAAAATCGTTTTGTAACAAGAAGAAGCATAGTAAGAGCATAGATAAAGACGGAAGAAAAAAATGATGGTGGCATGAAGATAGAGAAATGATTACCAGAGGAGAAAGAAGATCCTGGATTGGAATGGGTGGGAGAGGAAAAAAATTGGGGGTTTGAGGATGATGATGATGCTTCTCTTTCAATAATTACTGTTTTTTTCTCTTGCGTTTTTTATAGTATTAAATTAATAAATTATTACCGATAGAGAAGATATGCTTATGCTCTATGGTTTTCTTTGGTTCGTGTAAGAAAGGGTGTGTTACAATTATTACAATGAAGTAAAAGTCATCCTCAAAATCCGTCAATAAAACAAAGACATCCGTAGAATATTCGGTCTATTTCTATATTGCTTCTATTCTTTTCTATACTCTTACAATCATCAATCAAATTACACCATAGGAGAGTTTTTTTTTTGTTAGGTTGAATACTAAATATCTTAGTAAATGTTTATTTCATGATGTAATTTGATGTGTATGTTCAAAAATATATATATTTATGAGTAGGGATCTATTTCATTTTCTAAAAAAGAAATTGAGGGTCTATTATTATAGTTTTGTATTTACATTGTACATATTTCTTAGAAATGTGACACATATTTAATATTTATTTAATTTTGTATGCATAAAAATATAATAATAGATCCTTCATTTTTTTTTTTAAATAAAGTGGATATTTACTCTGATTACATATACAAAATAAATGTGTTAATATATAATTTGTAGTGTTATATTTACAAAACACCTTGTTTAGGGCGATACACTAGGATTGTTTTAGGAAAAGGTATCGACTCGCCCTTAAGTCGTCCTCATCCATAGAGGAAAAAACATGGGACAAATAGAAGAAGCATGGGACAAACGCGAAAAGAAACGATTGAAGAGTTTGAGAAGAGGTTAGAAAGATAAAATAATGAATTTGAAGATGTGTTAACAGAGAAGCGGAAAAATCGTAGGAAAGACGTGGAAGAAATGAAAGAGTTATATGTGGTATGTGAGAATATTGTGATATCTGAAATGTATGATATATATTGTGTTGATTCTGTTTTGTGTTCCTGTTATTTTTATGATGTAGAGAATCAGTGAAACCGTCCAATATTGTACACACGAAGATGGTGATGATCAATTGCCCGAAAGAACTGGTGTATGTGGTGCAAACACAAAAGGAAGTTATTCAGTTGTCCCTATCGATAATGAGATCCATAATGAGTTATTGACTCCTTCTAAATAATCAATAATCAAATTATTATGTCATGTTATGGATAAGAAAGATCTAATTTCTCTTGAGCTAGAACATGATTGAGAGTTAGTGTGTTTTTATGATGATCCTAATTATATAAAGGATTTGGTCATTAGAAATCAGTGGTTGGACATAGGGATACTACAATTTTGGTGCATGTAAGTATGTAATTGAATATCTTATTATGGTACATTCATCGTATTGTATAGAATTAATTCTTTGCTTATTTTTTAAATCTTGTTTAACCATTTAGGTACATTCACTGTATTTATATAATTAATTAAATTAGATATTTATCGATTCTTAGAACCAGTTAGTATTCGATTTACAAGTAATACTCCAAAAAAATATTAAAACATACATAACATCATGGTTAGATGGGAGAAAAGACTATTACTTAACATTATTTCTCTGTGCGTAAGTAATTTTGAAATTATGGTTTCTCTATTATAGTTAGTTTACATGTTTTACCAATTACTAATTATATATGTTTGTGTTTACTCTGTGAATATTTTCAATTGATCATCATATGTCTTTAGACGAATATGATAACTACGCTATATTTCTTACACAATCCACTTGAATCTAAGATGAAAGAAATTATTTCTAGGTAAGTTTATGTTTATGAGACTTTTAGTAATATTTTCTTTGACTTTGTAATTAGTTTAGCGTGTAATATTTTAAATCATTTTCAATACACAAGGTTGTAGAACGACGTTATATTATGAAGAATTCTAGAGAAAAAAACTCACATTTTGTACACCCAAGGTAAATGAATTACTTGTGACATATATATATATATATATATATATATATATATATATATATATATATATATATATATATATATATATATATATATATATATATATATATATATATATATATATATATATATATATATAGTTAAACGCATGTGTGGTTATATATTTATCAAATGTTTAAATTTATAGACGAGGAGACAAGAAGAGGGATACAAGTGCGGGTATTATGTAATGAAACATAGGTTAAACATTGTCTATATCGGTATTTTTGATTCTTGGGATTATATATATATATATATATATATATATATATATATATATATATATATATATATATATATATATATATATATTATATATATATATATATATATATATATATATATATATATATATATATATATATATAGTCATAAAATATTTATAATAACATATTAATGTTTAGGTTTGCTATTGTATTTCAAATCATGTGATATTCAATTTTCTTCACTATTTTTATGTAGACGTTTAACGACGAGACACTTTTCTCTCCCGATGACTTAAAAGATATTTGTAGACGTTGGACGTTTATTTTCAATGCGCTACTTGAAAAGGATGCTAATATATGACTTTAGCTTTGATGTTTGTAAATATATGATTTTGGATTTGATGTTTGTAATATATGACAAGGGTAAATATATGTTTGTGAATAATATTTTTTACTTTGATGTAAAAAATATTTAGGTTTGTAATATATGTATAAAATATAGGCACGAAAAAATACAGGTTTGTAATATATGAAAAATAAAATAAAATTAAATAAAAAAAGTATTTCACTGTGGTTGTTTACTATAACTGTTGTGATAGGTAACGCATCAAATATTATATATTACTCGTGACCTTTGTATATTGCACAATGGTTGTTTACTATAACCATTGTGATAGGTAGCGCATTACCTAGTTTATCATAACGGTCATGCACCCGTGGTAGAAAATAACATACTTACAACCATACCATACCTCACAAAAATTGGTCAACCTTGATAGTATCCCTTTTTCAACCGTTGTGAAAGGGATTTTCCGTAGTAGTGCATATAGAGGAACATAGAACATAAAGGGGTGAGAACATATTCTATAAAATCATATGGTATAATAACAACAAGGATAGTATTTAATCATAAATCACATCATTCACAATCAATCATAATCACATAATAACACGAACATATATACAAGAATAAATATGTAATGTTCACTTCCCCTATTCCCATGCAAGTGGTATCACCATCGGCTTCAGCGTTATTTTACTGAAATCCTAAATGACCAGACAAAATTCCTAAAACATCGGACTGAAAGTCCTAACGCTGGACCGAAGTCCTAACACTGGACTGAAGTCTTAACCTAACTCTGAAATATATGATGCATGATGCTTCAAGCAATGTAATCTTTCATTTGAACCTTGATAAGTGCAATTTGTAGTTATTTTTGTATATACTTTTGGTTGCACTTATCGACTCTTTGTTTGTAATATCGTTTAAATAACCCGACTTTTGTGTAAATACGTTTAGTTTTTGTTTATTTGTATTTTTGTGTACATAGTGTGTCATTTGATGTTTTTCCATTTATTTTGTAGGTATTTGTTGCATTTTAGAGCATTAAGGAATAAGGTGTCGAA